TTCATCTCTACACTCGTATCACTCTCAATACAATTTTGAACAGTCTTAGCGTTGGCTAAAGTGGAAACTGGTTTTACAGAATTTCGGTCACACCTTTCAAAATACTCTTTTAACATGTTAATGTGACAAACCCGTTTCTCTTTACGTCGACCTGGTGTCTTAACCACATAGTTTACATCACTGATCTTGCTTTCAATTTCATAAGGGCCATAAAATTTGGCCTGTAAAGGATGACCAGGAATAGGTAAAAATACAAGAACCTTATCACCTGGCTTAAACACCCTATTTCTGGCATCTTTGTCATACCACATTTTCATTTTCATCTGAGAACTCTTCAAATTTTCTTGTGCTAATTTACAAGCATTGTAAAGTTTTTCTTTGAAATCAGACACATAATTATAATCTAAAAGATTAAGATCACTAGTCTCAGTCAGCCACTTTTCCTTCAACAATTTCAAAGGACCTCTAACTGTATGACCGAACACCAATTCAAAAGGACTGAACCCAAGAGACTCCTGGACTGCTTCTCGTGCAGCAAATAGTACAAGATGAACCCCTTCATCCCAGTCTTTCTCATACTGGTAACAATAGGTCTTCAGCATTGTTTTTAGGGTTTGATGAAAACGTTCTAGCGCTCCCTGGGACTCAGGATGATAAGCAGTTGATCGATACTGCCTAATACCCAACTCATGCATGACTTGCTGGAACAACCCCGACATAAAATTTGAGCCTTGATCCGACTGAATTGCATTGGGTGCTCCTACAAAACTGAAAAACTTGGTTAGGGCCTTAACTATGCTCTTTGCCTTTATATTCCTAAGAGGTATGGCTTCAGGAAATCGAGTGGATGTACACATAATGGTAAGTAAATACTGGTTTCCAGATCTAGTCCTAGGCAAAGGTCCTACACAATCCACCAACACTCGACTAAACGGTTCTTCAAAAGCTGGAATTGGTTGGAGAGGGGCGGATGGTATCTTCTGATTCGGTTTACCTACCATCTGACAGACATGACACGACTTACAAAACTCAGAAACATCCTTCCTTAGCTTAGGCCAATAAAAATGACTCAAAATCCTATTATGAGTCTTATTGATACCTAAATGACCAGCCATAGGTGTATCGTGAGCTAAACTCATGACATCTCGACGATAAGCAGCTGGGACCACTATCTGGTGAACAACACGCCACACTTCATCTGCGCATGTGAGTTAAGGCTACATATGGAAATTTCTATACAAAATATCTAATTAAATTCCATAATTGCTCTACCTACCGCACAGAAAATGCTAAGACTTGTTTTCTAATACATTCTTGGTACCCACGACATGCAATAGCCAGTACACATTATGACGTCATATTATGACGTCATCGACCTGTACTACACAAGTTTATAAGAAACATCAACAAAATCGCTTCGGCGCAAGGGCATACCTTACTTTGTTTTACAGAAACAAGGTATCAAAAGACGCAGGATATTCCAAGGATTTAAGATATTGCTGCACAAATGCCGGCAGTGCAATTGGTTACTTACTATTCGTGCAGTTTTAAGTTTTAACAGGGTAAAAATTCACTGTCCAGGGTAAGTTTCCTAAACTTTTTTTCAATTGAGAAAGTGCTAAGGATTTGTGCAGCAATTTTATTAATTTTAAGAATATTCACCTTAATATTATACATTGTTTATTTTAAATTAGATAGGATAGGCCCTTGCGCCGACGTGATTTTATTTATATGATTTAATACCTTGAATGGGAGAGAACAATGACGTCATAATATGACGTCATAATGTGCACTTGCATTAATAAACTGTGGGTACTGATAATGTATCAGAAAATCAATTTCAACCTTCTCTGTACATAAAATTTTCAAATTATGAATTTCCATTAGCTTATTTGCATAAAAATATCCATATTTAGCCTTAACTCACTTGCGTGGGGAAGCGTCAGGTGGTCGCCATTTTCGCATAAGGATGCCATCTTTCATATAGAAGCATTCTCCAACTTTAGTAGCCTCTTCTGGTGGAAGTGCCCTCTTACTAAGTTGAATGATATCTGGGTCTTTATGTTGTTCAGAGAGTAAACGTTCTCGGCTGAGGATGTCCTTGCCTTGGCTAACTATTGGATGCAACTCATCATCCTCACCACCAAATTTTGGTAACAGTTCTTTCTTCTCTTGCTTCTTGATATTGTGTGGTTCCATGCTTGTTTGAGTGCCATCAAGGTCAGATAAGAAAGTGTCATTCAAATCAATATCAACAGAGGAATTCGTCTCGTCAAAGGCTTGAGTATGGTCTGCCTCCATTTCTCGTCTTCTGGCCATCGCTCTAGTAACAGCACAGGCTGGATAAATGTCATCATCTTCATCATCGCACATGACATCTGGAGTGATTTTCTCACAAGCTATAGGATCTGGTACAACTTTTCCACCAGCTAAATCGTTGCCTAGCAACAAAGAAATGCCTGGAACAGGAAGAGTAGGTCGAACACCTACGATAACAGGTCCAGTAACTAAATCTGACTTCAAACTAATTCTATGCAGGGGAACATCAATGACGCCTAGCTCCACACCCTGTAATAAAACTGACCCACCAGTAGAAGTCTGCTCAGACAAAGGAAGCACGCCCTCTAACAATAACGTCTGTGCAGCACCAGTATCTCTCAAAATCTGGACAGGTTTTATTTCGCTAGAGTCACCGAGTGAAACAAATCCCTGAGACATAAAGGGCTTATAATCCTCCATAGAATCAATAGCACTGGACTGTGAACCCTGGACATCAGGAGTGTCAGAACAAATTGAAACTAAGGCTTCTCTATCACCTCTAACTGCCGCACAAGCATGTGGTTGAGTTTTATCAAAATCATTTTTTCTCTTAAGTTTAAAGCATTCACTGATGAGATGACCCTTTTTCTTACAATACCCACACGTAGGAAGCGACCCTAGTCCAGACGATCCTTCAACACGTCCTGGACCGGACTTAAAACCAGCTTGTGATGGAGACTGGGAACTTGTGAAAGACTGAGACCCTGAACCACTCTTTTTATATGTGTCTGAATTGGTAGAATTACTGCTAGTCTGAGATCTTGATACAAAATTCTTTTTATGAGACAGAGCGTAAGTATCAGATATGACTGCTGCCTCTTCAACAGTTTTCACATTCTTATCTTATGTGTTTTCAAATCTTGAGGAACACATTCCTTAAACTCTTCTACCAGGATGACTTGGCGCAAATTAGCAAAAGTTTTATCAAGTTTCTTAGATCTAAACCAATGATCGAATAAATCTTCTTTCTCTCGTGAAAATTCAACAAATGTTTGATTATCAAACTTCCTATACTTTCTGAATTTTTGTCTATATGCTTCAGGTACTAATTCATATGCTTTTAATATTGCTGCTTTGACCTTCTCATAGTCTGAACTTTCAGCTACCCCTAGTGCAGAGTATACCTCAGCTGCTTTGCCAACCAGTACACTTTGTAACATTGTTGACCAAACGTGTTGTGGCCATTTAAGATTCTCTGCGACTTTTTCGAATTGGGGAAAATATTTGTGTACAGATTTTTCTTGAAATTTCGGAACTAACCTAATATTTTTTGCTGCATCAAATTCATTCTTGACAAATGAGGGTTCTGGTTTGTGCTGTAATCTTAATTTCTCTAACTCAAAGTGCTCTTGTCTTTCTAATTTGTCTAATTCAAATTTTCGTTCACGCTCTCGTTCTTCTCTTTCTCTTTCTCTGTCTCTTTCTCGCTCTTCTCTTTCTAATTTTTCTCTTTGTAATCGCATTTTCTCTAACTCTAATTGAAACTGATATTCTGCCATTTTGTAAGAGCCTAACTCTGATTTAACTGTATATTCTGGAAGATCGTATTTTTCAAAGATGTTTTCTTCTACTAGTTTGTTTGCAACCTTAATTCTAATGTCTTGCTTTCTCTGAGAGGATTTAACATCTAACCCAAAATGCAAACCTAATGCAATCAAGTCATCCTTTTTTAACGTATCAAAAACCTGAACACGTGGTGAACTAAGAAAGTCTGTGACCGAAAATACCATGATGATTTATGCTGGCTTATAGTCAAATTTAACGGTTCAATAAACAAAATTCTGACAATAAACTGCAAAAGTGCAAGAAATTCTTTATCCCGGACGAGCCCCCAATTCTGTTATGGGTCAGAATAACCCTAAATGCCAGCAAAGATCAATCACACAGTTTAAACTTAACAATAATTTATTTACAGTAATATATAATAAGTATATGAAACATAAAGTACAAACTTAGCAAGAATCTAAAAATACATACATCAGAGTGTCCGTTGCTGCACACAATGTCCCAGTGAAAATATATCCCATTTATATCTCAATAGTGCTTATACGACAAAGTATATTTATGCATCGAATTGACAGGGTATTTATACAGTAATATAAATCTAGAATATTCTAGAAATTGTAAATACATGATACTCCTGGAAAGCTCTGGACATGAATAAAGTTCAAGAATGTTCTAGAAAAAATGACCAAACATATTGACCACTCTGGAATGTTCAAGAAACTTAATGTTACTAATAATATACATGATGAAACATTTATACACATCTCACAACAGTAAAAACAATATGTTCCCCAACTTCGTTTGGGGAACATAATAAAAATAGACCTATAAGATCAGGGGATGACAAATCCCATTGCCCGACGCCCGGGGCTAGTGAATTTTAGGATTGGCCAAGTAAAATTTTAGCAACCATTTGCCCGTGGGTAAGTGACTTAATCAATTATCAAAAATAAAATCAATATGTATGCCAATATTTTACTCAGTATTTGTCTTTCTCTTTTTTGAAATATTTATAAATACAGTATTTATAAGCTAATGGTAGGGCAGGCAAAAATTCAGGTAGGGCAAGTTAATTTTGACTATGTACTTGCCCTTGGGCAAGTGCCTTAAAAATCTATTTGTCAGCCTCTGTATAAGCGTAATATACTGTAGTTCTTACCTCATTTTTTTTTGTTATTCAGTTTTGGATCTGGGAGGTCATCAGAATCGCTGCTGTTCGATACATCTGGAGAATATGATAATGCATTTAATGATATTTATTATCATATAACAGGAAAAAAGTGACTCTGGATGAAAATATAGACCATCCCCGAACTAGCTCGAAATAACTTACTTGATTCAAATTCTGTTTTCGGGCATATGTACAATTGCATATTCTGGAATGGCTTTCCAAGAAAATCTTTATACCCTCTGACAGTAAAAACATTTGTTGTTCCCGGTATACTACTAGCCCTGGATCCATCTTTATATAACAGAATGTATTCCTCTGTTGGGAGCATCTTATTGTTTTATGATGCTTGTCTGTTGCCACCTTTAGGACATCCGTTTCTGTATTGCTAGGGAAGACTTCTATTGGCAATAATGTTCCCCGTTGATATTTCAGTGTGCCAATGGTGAGTCTCATCACTCCGACATTTATCTATGAAATATAATTTAAGAATTCGACTTTTTAAAAATGTGCCCACTGGATTTCAATAAAATTATAAATAAACCCAATCAACTGATTAGTGAGCTTACAAAAAAAAAAGAATATCATGGACGTAGCGCCGCTCCTGCTCGTCGTTTTGAAATTTGGGGGGGGGGGGGTTGGCAACCAGAGAAAAAAAATATCATCTTATACCTAAAATACTTGACAAGCAAAAGTAAAAAATGAAAAATTTCCAAACTCAGAAATCTCATTTCGTGCGCCAAGGGGGTGGAGGTTGGGTTAGGTTCCAACTTCTTTTTAGAGTCAAATTTTATCCATACAATTCCACATTACCCTTATTTGACTACACACAACGAAAAGTGGGGGAGGGGTGGCTTTCAATAAACATAACAAATGATGCTCCGGAAAAGAGGCAAGGATCCCCCATTATAACCCCCTTGCTACATGTACATGTATATGCCTAATTATAGTTTTTTTTAGATCATCGGTCAGAAAAAAAGTTATGATTGAAGTGATGTGTAGATGTACATGTATAAAGTCATTGGTATTGTAATGATTTGCATTTTGCTCCTAAAAGGATTTTTTATTCCTAAATTTTCAAATTATTTTTGCATATACATGTACATTTGAACGCTTAATGAAGTGGTGGATCCAGGATTATTTTCTAGGGAAAGAAATTGGTTCAAAGTAAAATAAAAACTTGTTGTTTGAGAAACATAGCATTTATACAGAGCTTGATGAGCTTAAATTGCAAAATTTAATCTGATTTGGGTTTTAAAGATGATTCCTCTACATCACCCCCCCCCCCCCCTTAACAAAGACATTGAAAGTGTTCTCAAGAAAACTACAAAATTATATTGGCTGATGAAAAAATGGATAATAATTCAAAGTTATTTAATAATTCAAATAAACAACATAATTTATCATTAATTTTTACCATGGGCGTTTGTAAAAATAATTATTTCAGAAAAATCTTCAAGGTTTTAACAATTATATTATAGAAATGTTAATATTTTACTTTAACTCGAGTTGGTTTCTTGCTCTTTCGAAAGGTAAATGTCTGTCTCCTCTCTGTTTCCTTTTCTTGCCGAAATTTCTTGAAATCTCTGAAGGAAGGCAAAGCTCTTGTAGAGAAACTTGCATCTAAAAAGGGTTGAACTGTTTAAGTAGTGATAATTATTAATAAGAGGATTTGTATTACACACAAATCATTTGGACATCCCGTCGAAATTCATTGAAGAAGATGGGGGAACAAGGCGCGCAGAATGCCTATAGCTTAAGATATTAAGAAATCATATTCATTTTCAGTTTGTGAATTAAATATTAAAATTAAGTTCGCATTATTAAAATTTATGAAATTATTAGAAATAAAACTTTTCCGAAAAAAAAATCATGGAAAAGATTATTCTTTTATTGAAATAATTAAGATAGTATCATATTGCTTTGAGACTAAAGCGCTAACCACTTCGCTACACAGCTCATATAATCATTCAAAAGAAATAGGGGCATTTAAATCTTATTTGTGATAGTATACTGTGTAATTTTAGTACACAATAATTACAGTATTTTTTTGTAAAATGTAGAGATTTTTAAATATATTATATATTTAAAATTAGATGAAATATCAAATAAAATTTGGATATAACTGATATTTGATTTTTCACTTCATGTCTGTCTCACCATAGGCACTTCGTCCTCCCCTTGCCTCTTCTTTCTCTCATCCTGCACCCATGCAGAGTTGTCGTTCGTTCCTCTCTCAGACACCTCTGCAATGGGCTCACGTCAAGATTTTTGACATAACGTATAAAACATGATATTTGCAGGATTGTTTCAAATTAAATTAATAGTTCTGGATTGATTTAGTAAAAAATTATCTCAAAACTCGGACATAAGCATAGAAAGTGATTTATAATGTTAAAATAAACGCACTATTTCTCATGTTTATCACTGTGATATACGCGAGCCAACGACAGAGGTGAATGTATGAGCCAATAGTAGACAATGCTCAACCTGGTGTCCGAGCTAAATTTATTAATCTCTTCACAATGACAATTGTATACAGAGATATGTAAACAATGATGAAAACCAGTTATAGCATGCGTGAGTATGAGCTCGAGGATAGACAAATAGTACAATCATAGAATAGAAAATAGACCATGCATATGACTAAATCGGCGAGCATGTTTTAGTAATATATCAAATAAATGGATTAACTTTTCATAAATATTAATTCATTAGTTCTGTAGATGTAATAGATGTAATTAAATATTTTCAAATTGTAATTGTTTTTGCGATAAACACTTCTTTCTTGTATCACTGACAAACAGTTTAATATGTAATACTGAATTCTTGGCCTATCAAACAGGAACAAGGTTTGTTGACCGAGTTGGCATTATTAAATAAAAGTGTAATTAATGGAAACGGGTTTCACACCCAATCAGGACAAGAGCATTGTGCGAAAAACAAAAATAATCATAATATCAATATTATCACCAGATTATATACTGCATATTTCATAATTAACATCCATTCTCAAATGCATTATTCATGTCCCGCAAACTAAAGTACAATGTAGCAGGGATAAACACGTTTTAATTATACTTATTTTTAAAGAAATATAGAAAAGTAACAAATTTATTTTATACCATTGATAACATTGAAAAATACTTAACCAATATAGCTTTTGTAACATTTTTAAAGCACGGCTATATCTTTGCTTCAGAAAATAAGAATCTTCCAGTAGGTACATGTACAGGACCACACCTCCCCAAAATTTTGATATTTCCATCATTCACAACCAAAAAGATCAAAATATATACATGATATATATCAATTCTAGACATCATGTTTATTAATCTTTTCTAAAAAGAAATGAAACAAATTCAAAATTCAAGTCCGATTTTCATTTTCTGTCTTTGACAATAATTTGATGTAAGTTTTCTTGTTTCAATACACAATAATTACTATGCTCACGTCAAACTAGCTGTTAAGTAAACCAAAACCTTTTAGAAATTCGCTCACTTGTTTACCATGTTTACACCAATCTTCTGCTGCACTTGTTTATTGATAATAAAGTGGGAAACTGGCCTCTCTGCAGGAAACCAAGGTGATTACGGAATTAAAGAATGGGGTTAAACTTTGTGGCACTGATTTCCGTAATATGACTATCTTGATGCTAAACTGAGAGAGAGAGAGAAAGAGAGAGAGAGAGAATAACACGATATTGTATCGTTTGGGAGTCGTGCGAGAGTTTGACAATTTGATGTTATGTAACTAAACGCTTCATAAAATGAAGTATTTTATGTGTGTGAGAGGATGTGAACAGAGTGTACAGAACTTATGTATACGTTGTGATAATTAACGATGTTAATACTTTTAAAATATATATATAAACACACTCAAATGTATTAGAAACAGGAATCGTCCCATCATACAAGCCCGCTATTAAAGTTCTCCGGGAATTATGCAAAACATATACAAAAACGTGTAAAACTAATAACAACTGTAAACTAGTAATTTAATATTAATAAAATGTACAAAAATTAACGTATTTGAATACACACTCACCATCTTGTCTTCCCGATGCCAATTTTTCGCCACAAATTGAGCAAAAGATATCTCTTTGATCATCTGCACCACAAGATTGACAATTATTCATCTTGTAAGTTTGCGTTCAAACATGAATTGTGATGCCATGTATTAAGACAAGGAGCCTCTCAGTGGGATGCTGGGGGCATCACTGATGTAATAAAGGTCAGTAAAGGTCACGCCATGGAAAATTTTCTCTTTATATATAGCGAGTTTTTGTTTATATATATCGCATTTCACTTTATATATATCGAGGTTTTGTTTATATATATCGCATTTCCTTTATATATATATATCCAGTTTTTTTTTTTTTTTATATATATATCGCATTTCCTTTATATATATCGAGGTTTTCTTTATATATATCGCATTTTCTTTATATATGTCGAGGTTCTGTTTATATATATCGCATTTTCTTTATATATAGAGGTTTGCTTATATATATTGCTTTTCCTTTATATATAGAGGTTGGCACTAATGGGCTTCCGTACTTTCGTACTTTAGGTATGTATTCCTTGTAACAAGACCACATTACCAAATTTGACTTCTTGCCATTTTTACAAAAAATACCAAATTTTAACCTTGATCATAACTTTTGAGCAGTTGCTCGTGCCAGGGTTTTCATACTTTACATGTGTCCATTTTAAAAAGACTTTTCATTTGGCATAAATATCACTGACCATTTGACCTCGACCTTAAAGTTTGAAGCACTTTGTACAAAACAAAAACCACTTTAACTTTTACTATAAAGTTTGAAAAGTATGTACTAAGGCTTTCATACATGTATATCACAGGTTTAGCCTTTGAGAACAGACTTTTCTATTGATCCTAACATTTGTGATCTTTTGACCCTTGATTCTGACTTGCACGTGAGAACGTTGAATCTTTACAATGAACTGTCGTATGGACGCATTAGTGTCTCACCAGCAATATTTTTTGTTTTGTTTTTCAAATATTTCAGCATTTGTTTTGTATTAGTTTTCAATATGTATCAATTATCTAGCTTCTCTTCAAGCATTTTCCTATTAAAAGTTTTAGACTGCTCTTATTCATTATATAGGAAAAATCTCACGCTTTTAATACAGGCTGATGTACGGCTGGTTGGTTGGTGGAGTGTTGGGATTCAGACCAGAAACATTCCGTAAAGTAAACGGATATTCCAACATGTTCTGGGGCTGGGGAGGGGAAGACGACGATATGTACAATAGGTGAGAGAGGTTATTTTTATTATACAAAATAATATTTACTAAATTATGGTAATTTGTGATGATGTATATAATACTATTTTAACGTTCTCATTCAGCAAGATATATCATATAACTATAACATAAAACATCATATACCAGGAACGAATTGAATGAGAATGCAAATTACATCACAGCAAAAATCAATTCTTCTGTAACTATTTTTAAAAGATTTTAAGAAAGTAATCTTGTTGACGACCAATCCAATCATTCAAAAATTTTCGACTTCCATTTTAATTTTGGAATAAGCAGTTTACGATAATATTAAAATCCCACGTTTTTTTTTTATTTCCGTCATGAATGAGAATTAAAAAAAAGAAAGCCGCAGGTAACCGCCCTTTGAATAATTTTGCGATTTATTTTAATGTCCATTGGAGTTTTTTAGCATCCACATCTGATATATAAGCCTTTGAGAATATGCTGTAGAGCAAACAATTTTTCATAGAGAGACAAGATTTGTATTTTATAGAACTTTCGCTGGACCCTGCAATGTATTTTGTTGTAATGATTTTTCAGAGCTTGAGGGGTCAAATATAAGTTGGGTACATCAAACTCACATTGGTTGACAAAAAATGGTTAAAAGATTTAACACTGCAATAAGAGATTTTCATCTTTAAAATTTGTAGTAAAAATTAGACTTGGATTTCAATAGGAGGAATTAAAACTTCTGAAAGTTTTCCTGAAATACATTTGTAATAATAATAAGTCTTACAAAGACAATATTCCATCAAGCATTGCCTGTTTGGACGATAATATATTGTTCACGTAGTTTTTTTCCTATTAATATTTGCACCACCTTCTTTTAGAGACTAGTTGAAGTAAAAAAGTTTGTATATTGCCTTTAAAAAAATTATTATGTTCCCAAAACAACATCCATTCAAACCAAATGTTTATTTTTTTACTTATACTTAGCCCAATTTCCAATATAATCTATCGTCGATTAAAAGTACAGTGCTTCATGAATTGTGTATTGTTTAACCGTAATAATTTTGACAATATGACTTTAATTGAAAACCGCATCAAGAAACTTAATTTTTCACGCAGAAGGTTTTGAATGAATTATTTTTCGTATAAATACGAAAATACTTTAAGATCTGCTTATATTGAGTGCACATTCATGGGATTTCAAACAGGTGATCGGAAAATTTAAAATCAACATAGGAGTTATTGTTTTTACTACCCAAATGCTTTTAGCAAAATAAATTTACATGCATATAATTAACTACATGTAGTTACATATAAAAATGGAAAAAATTGTCTACATCAAATATACTTTTGTTCCGAGGATTGGTTGCCTTTTATTTGTTGAAACTCGTATGTTTTGTCGATCATTGTAACATTGTAGATGTCCCAGGCAAAGCTTGTTATATTTAAACATAATTATATTTAAACAATAAGCGTGACCATTTTATTTACAGAATACGTCATGCAAGATTCCGTGTGATAAGACCTCCAAATTCCATCGCTAGATATACGATGATTC